TGAGACCCTAAAATCTTACTGAAGACAGCATCTGAGAATTCTAAGTCTAGCAAGACATTTGCTCTACTCCTCTAGATCTATCTGCCCAGAAAGTTTCAAAATTTTCTGATGTACCGTTCTCCAAAAATGCCGGAAAGGGGGGGGGGTGCCCTTAATCTGAAGTAACCTCTCTTGTTCGGTACACCACAATACAACTGTCCTTACTATGGTACTACTGTTCGGGCTCGCTATCACACTGCTTACAATCATCCCGTCCTTTCTTCCGTACACAAATTGCAGTCCTAGGAAGAGTCCTGGCACGTACTGATCTTCACGTACCACATCTCGTCCCAAAGCGTACTTATCACGTTCTTTCTTTTTTAAAAGGTTTTATTTCAGTTCGAAAAACTTTTCTTGGCGGCTCGTCGGATCCTTCTTTCCTGAAGCCAACTGGCTTTCTTTTACCATGTGCAGTTTTTGTTGAAAAAAGACGTCATCTGTTAAGGAAACTGTGTTGTCCAGGTCAGCTCTATTTCGGCCACTCGCTAAGACGTCGTGTCGCTAGCACCACGGCTACTGTTGGTATTCCACAACGTATTATTCAAGCTTTAGAAAGAGGGTTAACTACATCGTCGTTCAAACTGTATGTGGATTTATCTCCGACGACTATTCGACATGCGCCGATAGCTCTCATCAAATAGACCTTCACATTTCTTAGTGGAATATGATTTTTCAAATTACGTTGGGATTCTACTAGTAAGAACTGTTGCATAGGAACTGTAATTATTGTATTTGAATGAGCTTCTAATGAAGCTATCTGCCTAATATATTTGTTTCTCAAAAAGCTTTTTCTTCGTTGGGCCTACTTGTTTCCTCAAGGTTTGTTTTCACCAGTTTTGGTACTAAGTTAAACTGTTTCCTTGTTGTCCAGCTAACTGAACAGTACGCATTACCCTACTAACAAGATAACTTTTAGAAAGATCATCCACAAAAGCTAGCCATCTTGACATGATTCGGAAATTAAACTAGTATAGGACAATATTCTTGTTTTTAGCCTTGCAAAAACAAAAACAGTATCTTATTATCACTTGTTGCTATGCACGTGATGAGAGTTAGTCCAACAAGATTTTGTGTTCCTGAAGCAAATGTTTCAAGAGCGTAGCCGATGGATTATGCGCATGTTTCATTACTGTCTGTTTCAAACAGATCGGGTCCGGCTGAAATACTTCCTTTGGAAACGGACCGTTCTTTGCACCGAAATAAGCAGTTCGCTCCGCGCTCGACGTCCGACTCAAAGCAGCTGGATAGCATCCTGGCGAACTTGACTCAAATAGGAAATCTCCATTTTGCCATTGATTACAAAACGCAAATGTACTGCTTGAACACGATACATTCGCCGCCAGAAAATCTTCACTCTGATTAAATGTGTTTCCGTAACACCAGTCGTTCCACAGATCCAGTCCGAAGAGAATACAAGTTTTATTATTTACATTATGATAATATTGCATGCCCGACGTGAAATTCATCCACATGTTGTACTTGACGCCATCAGCCTGGAGCGAAATACGCATCTGCTCAGACGGCTGATCATAGTAGATCACACCTGAACTGGTGTAATCAATGTCCGGTATATGATGGATGAAGTACGTCTGGAAACTTGGAGGCGTGCAACAGTCGTGCGGATCGTTCTTCTGCTGCTTGGCTGGTGGTTTTTCATCGAAGACTGGATGTATAGCATTTGTAGGGCTTTTTGTTAATTGAATATCAGAACACTGATGAAATGTTTTCCCCTGGTCTTCCTCATCTGCATTATTCGTCAGATAGCGCACCCGCAAAACACACTGGTCACACTGCTGGTTTGGCAATTGAATTGGAATTGAAAAGTTTGTTTGTGTGTTATGATTCATTGGATTGTAGTCGTTGAAGGAGACCAACGTTCGAAAGTCCTGCTCCGGTGGATCCAGTCCCACAGCAAATGAGATATCAAGTGTGCCGGGATTTGGCGGGTAATAATGATTCAAATGTTGTTGAAACCGAACGCTGTACATTGTGCCAGCTTCGAGAGTGGTTCGTTGTTTCGATGTTGAGGAATTATAACCACCGCAAGGTGCCAGTTTTCGGTAACAATCGTGCGAACCGGGAGTACTGATACTGAAATTTCCACGTTGCATCGGCTGCCATAAACAGAGATGACCGAGCGTTGGTGGCACACACATCAGCGTCAGAAGAACAGCAATAAAGTTGAATAACATCGTTGGTATTTGTAGAGAAGAATGATGAAAAAAAGCAGGTGAAGGTGAGTATATAAAGAAGTTTCATAATGCAAACAATGACAAGGAAAAAAAATGTATGACACTGCTGAAAACTGCGCTAGTCGTTCGATATTCCGTTAAGTTTCGCAAGAGGGCACACTCTTGAGGAGACACTCGTTTCCACATTGTTTGGCATAAGGAATCTCAAAAAAGCGATTTCGTGGCAACAATATGACATGGTCTAATAACATGTCGTCATATCTTTTCGCTATCAGATCTCTTAGACCATTTGCGTGCAGAGAGAAAGAAACATTGTATCGATTTTATGAGAAATGATGCCGTCTTCAGTTTTTCAAGTTAATGCTTTAACCCTGAGCGGCTACTCGTGGAGGTACTATCATACTGCACTGTCCTTTGCAAATTCATTTAGCCTAACATAATACTATAGTTTCCGTTTTTATATTCCTATTCGGTTAGTGCGGTCAATATTAAAATTTATAGCTTGACAGCTATGTTGCTCGTCATGCGCTTCTGAGATACTCTTCCGAACTATAGCACCAACCAGCAAGCCAAGTACAAATCTTGGACAGATTACTCGCCTAATAAACTAAATTTTCCATGAGTTGTCGGAAACAGAAGGTTAGAGAACTTTAAGATCCACGTATGTTTGAAACATCGACAGAATAAATGAGTCAGTGTTATCTGGAAAGCTCTTACCAACTACGTCTCTCAGTTCACTTTAATCTGAAATAATCTCTCTTGTTCGATACACCACAGTGCAACTACCTGCACATCTCTAAGGGCGTTTTACTTTAAAGAAAGGTAAAAAGCAAATGAAACCTTGGATGAAAGAAATAGATATTGATTCACTGGCGCTTCGTCAAAGTACGGGCACATCTGGCTTCCAGTATGCGGCAGCTATTCTAGCTGTGCGAATCAATGCGGTTTTTCCGTCTCACTAGTAAGTTTTCGGCCACAGCAGAACTTCATCATTCAAAAGACCTTTTATAAAAAAACACCAAAGATATGAAAAGGTTATCATTAATCTATGGAAAATCTGTGACTTATTGTTAAACTTTGTTTCCATTCTCTTCCTTATCATTTTTCTTTGGAACGTATCCAAACTAGTGTTGGAAATATGACCAATATCTTAAGGATGCTAGACATCTAGCATCACTATCTAACAAGTGGTTGAATAATACTTATAAAAGACTTTCAACTTGGCATTTTATATACGAGGAAAGCCGCTTTTGTTGCCGACTGCGTGTTAACCATTAATTTTAGTTATAGAAAAAAGACTTCTGCAGTGATTTCATTAACAAAATAATTTCTAACTTTTTCTTATAAAAATGACAAAAAGAGAAAGCAAAGACACGTAAAGGTAACAAATTTTGATAAAATATTGATAAAGGTTTCAGTTGAAAAGTAGGACGAAATAAATAACCACGAAAATAAAATATTTTATCACAACACGTGTGAATATTCATTTTTTCTGCTTGAGAGCTGGTGTGACTGCTCTATAATGTCATCTTTTCTTTTACTTTTAATATCTACAATACCCACAACAGTATCAGATTATTCCATGGTTTATTCTATGAGAAAGACATAAACTGGTTAGCTATACATAATGCTCTTGGATGGCCAGTTGGTAATATATTGGTTGATCCAACTACATACCCATGAGTCTACAACTACATACTATCTTGTTGTTTTTATAATAGCTGACCAAATTATTCAGCAAGTACAAACGGAGACAATGGAACGACAAGCTCAACATGACCTTTCATCATTTGACCGGAATTTAAATTTGATACGTTTAGATCAGATTGGGTTTTATCGTTTTCATAGCATGATACAAGAACGTTATGAAAATCTAAAAAGTAGTTCACAAATGCTTAATATTGAAACGAAAAACTGGTTATTATATCTCAATAATACAAAATGGGTTAAAGTAGAGCCACACTGTATAGCATGAAATATTAGTGTTGCACACAAGATGAAGTAAATACAATTTATATTTATAACCAAACACAATAATGGTCACGAGCAAATATTTCTGTTATTTATTTGTACAGAATTATAAAGACTATTTACACAAGTTGATGCTTTTGGCGAAGACATGTAGATGATGCGTTTACTCTAATAGATCGATAAGATAGATAATTCTGATAATATTTTGTCAATATTAAATGAATTTCATCGGAGTACTGGATTTGCATATGAGATCGAGGCTCAATAAATAATCATTCCCCAAAGTCCATGTAATAAGAGAACCTACTGATTATTCTACAATCATTTATTTTTTTTCTCCAATTCATTAGAGTCTATCACATCGGACCTATGACAACGATATTCAAAGAATTAGAATTTTATTGGAAAAATTAAAAAAATTAGGAATAGAAGAAAATTTTCTAGAATGGTTTAAATCCTATTTAACTAGCAGAGAGCAAATCGTGGTAGTTAATGACAAAACATTTAAGCCTGTGCTAATTACATCTGGTGTGCCCCAAGAGAGCGTGCTCGACTCTTTAATGGGTATTAACTATCTTGTTTGAGAATTTTCTGCTGCAGCGACAGCTTCTTTCTTCGCCAATAGCGTTTTTGGATTATTTCCGGTACAAAACTTTTCTGATCTGTCTGAGGTACAGAATCTCCTAGATTTTATGTCGAGGTGGTGTGTAAAAAATGGAATGAATTTGAATGTTGCTAAATGCTGCTATATGCCGTTTTGTAATCAAAGATCACCGGTTATATATACATACTCGACTTTTCTATGGTATATCTTTCAGGTTTTTGGACCTTCTTTCAGGGTACTTAAAACTAGAGAAAACGTTTGGCACGGTACAGTTTCCAGCAGATACGCGATTAAGACTTCCGAGCTGTAAGGAGTTCCTCCTTGAAGACTGGCGGGTAAACGAGAGAGATACATGCCATATCTTGTCTAGCAGAGAGCATTTAACACCAGAAAAGATATGACTTTACCCGCAACATATCAGTTAGGCTTTTAACCGATGTCCTAGTAACAATAAGAGCTAATGGAAAGCAACGAGTGGTCCATAAAATAATGACTTTGCAATTACTTCACCTTGTATTGTTGTTTTCCTTTTCTTCTTTATTATTTTCTTTGTTTCTTTCATATTTTTTCTTCCTTGGTTAGATCTGTCTCGTGTACCAACCAATATTCCAACCAGGAGCAACTCATTAGAGCAGCTCGGAATTCTTAGTCGAGTGCCTGACCCAAAAAACTGAAACACATATCGCAAAAAAGTCGAGCGTATATATATATATAATCGTTCAAGTATTCGCAAAACAAACTAGACTGAAAAACCTAGTTGTTGCTGACACTCCTGGTTCTTTTTCGCATAAAAGTCAGAACTGCAAAATAAGGAGAAAAAATAGTAAAGGAGATCACAAAAGCCACATAAAAATCCGTTTCGAGTCCACATACATTTCTCATTGTGCTCACTGACTAAATTCACAGTAGAAGAGAAGAAAGCTGTTGAACAGGTTAAAAATATATTTGGCCCAAAGATATTGAGGTATTGTGTTGTAATTTTCACTGATGAGAGAAGATATAATTCTTGTAATTTATAGCTGGTAATGCATTTTTTTTAAGGAAATGGCAGTTTAGAAAGGTCAAGACCTTAGATCAATGGATTAATGCGGCAGGTGATGAATCAAAGGAATTCTTGAATGTATGTGGTAAACGTTATACGGCTGTCGACAACCTAAAACTAACAGATGAATCGGGAAGAACACAAATGGGTGACAAAGTGTAAGGAGTTATAACGAATATGATGCACGAAAATGGAGATGCCGTTTTTACGAGCGAGGCACTATACAAAATCAATGATGTTATTATGAAGAATAAAGAAGCTGCCAGAAGAAGGAGAGCAACAGAGCAAGAACCTAAAGCTGCTGCTGCCACCACAGCCACTCTAGAAATTGTGCCAGATAATGAAGTAATTCTAATAAGGATAGCGCGTAAACCGATTTTGTCGGAGAGGCAAGGACTTTGACATAGATATTTTTAATCCCACAAATAAAACAAAACGCTGAAATGAAGAGAAAAATTAGACGTGCACACAGTTGGCTGCAAAAAACGGGCAAGGAGTATCGAGAAACAAATTCAGTTTCCCATTTTGATCCCAGTTAATGGATGGTGAAGAAGATTCTGTTCTACTGGTATATTAGCTCAAGCAAATGAGTCTCTGTGATAAAAATCACATAACTATCCGATGACTAATCCTTTAGATTTTCAAGCCTACAACTGTGACTGGTACAATAATAGCTGAGATTCCCAAATTTTAATGACATCCTACTAGAAATACAACACTTTAAGTCGACAGAAAAAAATCTTTTTTATGTTACTTGAGTAGTCTTCTGTATTAGTTATTATTATATATGTAATAATCGAAAATATCTGCTCTTTCGGATGGCGTTCGAATTGGCTCTCTGCAATCAACAGTAAAACAGATAAAAAAGCAAAAGTTACATTATCTTTTTTTCAAAGCCAAAACTCCAAAATCAAAGTATACTGCTAAAATACTAAAAGATAGCATAAGGAAGCATCCGTCTAGGTATAACATAAACATGGAAAATAGTTGATAAGTTCGCAGAACATGACATTGCTATATCTCTTATCAATCGTATTCTAAACTGGATACAATACTTTTTTATCTTTTTTTGATTTTAACAACCGTGGCTACGTTAACTTATACAGACAGCATGTGGACTTCCGTCGCTAAGAGCAGTAGCATACACTCTTCTTCAACAGAGGTCAGAACAGAAAAATGGTACTTAAGCGGGAGGCGTCACTGAGATCGACCAATGTAAGAAGAAATTTCTGATCCTCGCAGGTCACTCGTAGACATAAAAAAGCGTTTTCGGCTTTTGAACTCGAATATTGACAAACAACAGTGTGACTGTTGCAATATTCATAATAAACATTTTCCATTCACTTA